TTTAGCGTTACAATCTGCATCTGCTTCTTTATATGTGTTGATATATAAACTGGTAACGTTGGATACAACGTAATTATTTGTATTAGTTATATCACATGTCCTACATTTCCTTTTACATTTGCAGCCCTTGTTATCATTTCCAAAGTCTTTAAGTTTGAAGTGGTTGGCCCCACCCCTTACCTTGTAGAACCTGGAACTGGAGAAATAATTTGTGGCGCTAGTTTTCGCATTTTTTGACCTAAGATCTAAGCGCATGAGCGGTCAAACCCATACGCAGAGAGGAGTCTTCCCGAAGGTTTGGCAGGGCTGCTGCCCAGGGGGTGGCTCTCCCTGCAAGAATACTAGCGCTGGAGGCGCCAAAAAATGACCCCTCTTGCCATTTTTGACTTGTTCCCGTCGCGCTGCCCTATTTTTTTTGAAGAGGTATGGCCCTCTTTTTTGAGAGGCATGGCCCTCATGTGTGTAAATACTGATGTGTTAAAAATGTGGGACATGTTAAAAAAAACAAAAAAGAATAAAAAAGAGAAAACAAAAAAAGGGAAAAACGCGCAGGGCCTACTAGTTAATAACAAGGATAGCAAATGTGAAATAATCTTAAATGCAAATTATGTGTATAGCTGTATAAAATTTAAACATGTCTATAAACTAGCAACAAATCTGTGTTATCTGAAAGTTAGGGAATGTTCGTAATAGCTTTAGTAACTTGGAACAAATGCGGAGTTAACAATAAAAACAGTTTGTGAGCATAGAGGTATGAGGAACGTCAATCGACAAAAATGCAATCTAGACGAGATGGATATAGGTAATAAAAAACGACCACTGGCCGCGTGTTGGACCACTGGTCCCGAAAAACACCACTGGTGTCGGAGGCAACCGCCTCATAGAAAAAAGTGAGCGAAGGATATAGGAATGCGAGAAACAAGATATGACCCGTAAGACGGAACTGGTATTTCATTGAACTCGGGTTACCCTCGAAGTTCAATGAACACCAGTACAGTCCAATTAGAAACAAAGAAAAACAAACATTGGGGAAATGCATACACTCCACAGCACAGATGATCCGTTTCGCCCGGTGTCGTAGACGAATCATCGAAGTCTTACCAACCCCCCAGGCTCGTCAGTACGACAGGGTTGAAGACATGGACATAGACTACACAGGGGAAGGAGCAAGAAATAGGACAAAAAGAGAAAACATGTAGAAAAAGCTCACGTGTAAAATTCATGCAATAAAAATGAGAAGGAATTGTACAGTAAAAATGAGAGAATGTTATAAAGTTCTGAGTACTAAATACGTGTAAGAGGAAGAAAATTGGAATGGAGTAGATGGGCAACCAATTAAGGGAATGTTGAGTAAAAGACACCGTCGAGCTGACTACAACGGTGAATAAAAATTGTAGCGATAAAATGAGAGTTAGAGTTGAACATCGTTGCTAATGAGAATACTTTTAACCAGCCTACTTATCTTTTTATAGTTATTTGCAATAGAGTATTTGTAACTTATAAATTTATTTTTGTAAATACATTTCACAATGCTAGTAATAATAAAACCTTCTTCGTAGCCATTTTTTGACAGAGTGGTGACCATATCCGTTATTTTGCTTACGAATACATCGAAGAACGTACAAGTTTGCTAACCTCAACGTTTCCGTATATATAACAGAGGCTTTGTTGATAAGGGAAATGTTTGTGTCACTATATGGAAATCTGATTACATTGAAGCTAAAATCGTCCGTTTTCTGCCGGAATTGTGGCGCCGGGCTCCGCCGCGCGGGGACGCCGCGACGCGCGACGTGGACGCTGACTTGCGCGACGATGGAATCGCCGGCGATTTACGATACCGCCTATGCATATTCTCAGTGTTGAGTCCGGAATGAGGATTTCATCAGTTCCGAAGTTCTAAATTGTGAAGTTCCAGTTTCCGTCTGAGGGCGCTTAACGGAAACTAGACTACTTCTTTGAAACCCCCCCCCCTAAATTTACTAAAAATGGCGTACGATAGTTTTATTTTTTATTTTTTGTTGAGAATATGTTGGAATAATTGCAGACAAACTACAAAACTTGGCACCTATTTACGCCTTTACTGCCCCAGCCATCGAATCGGCCAGTTTTCTGACGGCGATTTTTTTCTCCACGGGCAGAATTTGCTGAAAACTTGGCTCCAGGGGTAGTTCGACCCGCTGAACACGAATATCGCATCCGCTTGACCCGAAACCTCTTGGCGCCCGCGCCACGGGCGCCGGCGCCAAAATACTCGAAATCACCAAATTCGCTGAAAACTTGCTCCCAGGGGTAGTTTGACCCCCTGAACACGAATATCACATCCGCTCAACCCGAAACCTCCTGGCGCCCGCACCACGGGCACCGGCGCCAAAATACCCCAAATCATTGGCGCCTGTGGCGCGGGCGCCAGGAAGTTTCGGGCTGAGCGAATGTGATATTCGTATTCTGGAGGTCAAACTACCCCAGGAGACAACATTTGAGCAAAATCTGCCCACGGAGAAAAAAGTCGGTCAGGAACTGGCCTGATTTCGGATGACTGGGGCAGTAAAGGGTAAATAGTGCCCAAAACTTGTATGACATTCTGGCTCCATGCAGCCTGCTGTCACATTTTAGCTTATTCCATGAGTCGCATATTTCTTCATACTTTGCGCTCTCTCTGTGTTCTTTACGGCATGGTTTCCCTCTATCCTGAAGTCGATTCGTCGTTCTTGATTGAGCAGATAACCACTGCCTGCAGAAACCACGATGTAAGAAAGACGAGATCGAAACCGAGATTCCAGAGACACTGGTAAACCGAAATTCGGCTTGAGATTAAGCACACGATAAAACAAAGAGCTGTTGGTGCGCGATGACCTCTACGAATAGAACGCCTCGACTGATCTTCAAACGTATTCGTAATCTTTCTGACGTATGTGAACTGACATTAGATACGAATTATTCTTTTAGCAATGTATTTAGCCTAGTTTGGCGCGTTGTCGACGAATGGGGGGCATTTTATACTACATTGCTTCCCCTAGTTCGCGGTGTTACCCAAATCCTCCCCTGCGTAAAACTTGGACCGTGGTGTGGAAGCTGGTGGCGAATAGTCTAGCCACCATCCTAAAACGTGTTAACTCGAAAAAAGGCTACCTAGATGGGTCGCCACATCTATGAAAAGCAGAATGCCCCCCCCGTCGGCAAACTGCGCCGCCTAGTTTTGGAACATCTTTTGTTTACTAGCTATCCAAATAGAGCTATCGGAGCCTCGAAGAGACGAGAATACTTTACATTTACTTATGTAATGACAGCTCCTGCATTTCAAACTTTTACTGATAACGTTTCGGGTGAGCTATTCTCAGATCATCACTGAAAACTAGCATCTATACGAAACTGGTGAACAAGGACAAGTTCATCCTTCCGGAAGAGATCGTCCTACGTACTGGGAGGCAGGACGGGAGAGGATGGGCGGCTCTCCTCCCTTCTTTCTGTAGAAGGGCTTAGGCCCGAAACGTTATCAGTAAAAGTTTGGAATAGGAGCTGTCATTACATAATTAAACAAGATTTGAAGTATGAAGCTCAGGGAAACATCAGTACTTCCTCACGAGAATACTTCGTAGTTTCGTCGTTGAAAGTAGCTAGCTACATAGTTGACCTATTCGTTTCTGTGAGTCCCCATTATCATAGATTTATGCACTTCTTATGAATCTGTTTCTACCTAACAAAAACTTTGTGCCATTATTGGAAATGCAATTCAGTATGGAATTCACTTAGATATTGCTCACCATCCACGATTCCCACATATTTGTTTGCCAATTAATACCGCATCATTTTGCTGGACACCTCTGCCCTTGTCTTCTCGGATTTCAAGACAAACTGTACCCTCACCTCGTGAAAACTGGTCTTGCAAGGTGAATGGGTCCCTAGCTGCAGTAGCATGCCATTTCCTCCGCTCGAAAGTGCACAAAAACTGGCCCAGAGGGCAGTGATACCACGGCACAGTTTCCAAGGCGCGCTATTCTCAAGGGGCACTTGCGCAGATACCAAGGCCCCGCACCGCACACGCAGTCAGAGGTAGAGGATACCGGAAGTGAGCGCAAACAAGTAGCGCCTTTGGTTATGGTTAGGCGCTTGGCCAGTGCAACAGCGCAGGCGGTGTATGGAGACAGTTCTGGGGCATGACTACCCCTTGGCCCCGTTCAAGTGCATTTTTGAACGGTGAAAGTGGCCCGCTACAATGACCTTTCACCTGGCAAGAACCAGGTTCCATGGGTTAGTGTACAATTCAAGAACCAGGCATCAGACCTAGTGAATTTGCACCACAAATAGGAGCTATTTCCACCTCATTATGAACTGCGTAGAGTATTTGACTGAACCTCACACTTCGGAAGCTATTCTCCCTGGCTAGGAAAAACTGAGGCTAAAAATAGTTGCAGGCGTTGTAGACTAGTATCTGCAAGCTCGGACCTCCTGACTCACACTTTTCATAGAACGCACTCTCTTTCCCTACCACTGAGGCATTGATACGCAGTACGCAGTTGGAATAAGCGATTGTGAGCATCTCGAACTCTTTCGATTTTCACGCTGTTCTCGCCACATTGGCTATTACTTATTCTGGTCTATTACTTTGTGTGGTTCGGTGTTTGTAGTGGTTAGGATACACACCATATCTAAAAGATGGGGTAGGCGTGGTCGTATACTTCGTTTGGACATGACAGCGGTTGCGGTTTTGTTGAGATATTGCTCACACTGGGGCAGCTGTAACTGTCTTTGTATAGCCCAAGCGGAATGACACTGGTCAAAAATGAAAGTATCCCACGGATACGGCGTCCCAGGCCATGTTCGAATGAAGTGAGTAACCACGCCCTCCCATTCTCAGGGATATGAAACCACCACGATTTAGTATGGTTGTTTGAAAAGTTCTAATTGCAGGAGAGGGATTACATAACATCGACGTAACCCATTCAATAACCAACCTGACAGGACCATTGTTGGACTCCCTGTCGAACTTTCGTTCCGTTTTCATGCTACAGAAACCAATGACATCGCATTTCCATTTGTGTGAGTAACCCAGCTTTTAGTCAACGTAACAACTGCCTTGAGTACTTGTCCTACACTACCATTACTGAATAGAGTTCGTTCAGATAATATGTCATGGCCACGGCTGTTCATTCTTGTCGGTGGTGTGGTGGCCATGTCCCTTTGGGCTTTCATGGCTTTCGACGACTACAAAACTAACTTTTTGCCTGCTGAAACGTCTACGGAAATCAATGAGATTCAACCATCAGGTTCTATTTTTCGTCTTACTCACTTTTTTGCTTTATTTATTTATTTGTTTATTTTCTTACTTCTTGCTGTATTCAAGCTTACCAATAATTCGATCGGCTTGACCTCCTTTAGTATCAGAGATATTTATTCTGAGCAAAACTTTCGAATCAGTGAGAAACTAATCATAAATGAATCATTTGTTGAATTAAATTAAATTATTGAATTATTTTAAATATATTAAATTAATTTGGTAAGAAACAAACTATTCGAAAGTTGAGAATTTCAAGGTAGCCAAGAAGATGTCAACACCAAAATCGACAAGCCACTTGATCGATGTATACTACCGAATTTCGACCCATGGGATAGAGACATCATACCGGTGAGTGGATCTAGAAACATGCTCATTTTTACTCGGTTTTTCTGACTGGATTTTGTTTATGGCAACGATTCGTGAATGCGCATGCCGCTTCCCAAGTATCTCAAGGTTGGGGCAGAACCTGCCCTTTCATTCGTTGTCGCTTACCAGCTCCAATAGTTGGTGGAATGGGATGTCAATGTGCTTAGAAACTTACAGAATACTCAGAAAATTCCATTTTCATGCCCACTTTTCCACATTTATGGCAACTTTTTTGGTGTCCGAGGTGCCGCTCTCCCTTAATACCGCTGCAAAAGCACAATTTTGTTCTGGCAATCGAAGATAATACCGTGAAGCCCCTCATAACTCGTAAAATGTGGAGCATATGGCAGCGTTATGGTCACAGAAGTTAGCCGTTGCGCAAGGAGTTGTGGACAGTGCGTTATGTTCAAAGACAAATACTGTCTATTGGTATTGTCCATAGTTATAACAAAGCAAAATTTGGAAGAGATTGGTTGAGTGAGAAAAGAGCTAAGGGCAAAAAACTATTTTGAGCACTTGTGAGCTACTGTATATTCATACCTTTGTTCAGCACAAGACGATAGGGCACCTACCTTGTACGCAAAAATAGCCCATCCCATCCCTTGTTCGAATGAAGTCGCGGCCACACCCAGCGCACCTCAAGGGTGTGGAGTGTAGAAGAGGGACTGGTACAAACCAGAAGAGGCTCCATCTTGCGATCGTTCACTGCCTTAATTGATTCCTGTCCAGACTGAGCCGCTTTTTTGTCTCTTCATAGATGGCTTCATGGGCACGGCACATCATCGTTGGGGATTCCCCAACAGGGGGGAGGCGTATTTGGTCCCTGGGAGAGGGCGGTCGTATTTTGTCGGCGATAATTTTTTTCATAGTTGATTTTTCTTGTGTCACGGACGCTTTAAGGGAGGGCGTGGGGTCGTATTTGCTCGCTGTTGAAAGGGGAAGGGGTCGTATTTGCCTCTTCTTGTTCTTTAGCGTTTGTCCCGCTCGGTAGCAGCGTCCGCTCTCCCGATATGACATGCCACTTCTCCCGATTGAATGCCTGGTCCGGGTG